CAGAGGAGGCTCAGGAACAGGAGGAGTCCCTGCAGCGCCATCGTGTGGCCAGGCCCTGGTCTCTGGCTCACGCTGTCTCGTCTGTGGCTAACCTCTCACTGCTTCTGTGAACACAATGAGTGCATTTAGTTCCACACGCCATAATCCAACATCCTAACCCAATATCCAAACCCAACACCCAAACCCAACACCCAAACCCAACACCCAAACCCAACATCCTAACCCTAACCCTAACCCCAACCTGTAAGGCACACAGCTAACAGATGTCCACCCTGCAGCTAACTACTGCTCTGTCCTGAAACGCCTGAAACACACAGCTGTGAGGCAGCTGCACTTATGGCGTCATGACAGCAGGGGGCACCAGACCGATGGGAAAGAAATATTTAAGCAGGGAAAAAGGCAATGCGGATGCTGTGCTCACACCTTAGGCAGAGAGTCACCCATGCCCACATTGCTCAGCTATGTGTGTCAGGAAGAAATTACAGAATTTAATGACTCATTTATGTCACTAACAGTCACCCATTATATATGTAAACTTCTGAAAGGTCAACAAGTTCCAAGTTTCCTTAATGTCTGCGCTACCTGCTGCCATTAAAAACAATGTGACTTTGGGAGAAGATGCTACACTGTCTACAAAACCAGAGGGAAACCAGACTGAAATAATAAGGAGTAAAACTATAAAGTGGAACATGTCTGAGAAAGATAAATGGAACATCTATCCACGCTCCAGCCACTTATCCAGCTCTGAGTTACGGTGTCTGCATGGATGTCCCAGAAAGCAAAGACCACAAGGCGGGGGACACCCAGGATGGGACGCCAGTCCATCACGGGTCACAAGACGGGGGACACCCAGGATGGGACGCCAGTCCATCGTAGGGTATATACACACACTATGGACCACTTCCACATGCTGATTAAATAATACATCCACCTAAATGCATCTTATTCAAGGAAATCTACACAACATGGAATGAACATGCAAACTCCACACACACAGAGTAGTGGTTCCACCCCTCAACCCAGGACGTGTCAGTCCACCACACTGCCCCAATAAATATTTAAACAACTGGATTTATAGAATTGTAACACTGTGATTCACATTACCAGTTATGAGCAACACAGGTGGCACGGGGCATGAGCAGATCTGTGACACTATTTAATAGCTGGTGCTGATGACAGATAAGAACATTCACCAGAGGAACATACAATGTTCGTTTGTCTGCTGGTGTCGACCACCAAGCTGCCAGACGGGTTTCAAGTGAGTGATACTATTGGAGGAAGATCCCGCAAACATGTCCCCAGGAGTCACAGGCTGGCATATTTCCATTGTTGCAAAATAAGTAAACTGATGCGCAAGTGAACTATGTAGGACTGTAGCACCACCGATACTGAAAACATTCCAAGATGGATAAGATATGAGCCCCGTATGAACATGGAAATGCCACCTTTCCCGTTTCTTCAAGGGTGCTATTAAGTCGCTTTTCATCTTTATCAAAATGATCACACATGATCTATGCCATATGAAACGATGGCCATCTATGCGCGATCAGAAACTGGCAATAACAACAGGATGGGCACAAAATGAAAACTGATCCAAGCAGTGGCTGGATACAATGAGCTGGTTCTCAGCATAAAATCCGAATTATGTGAAGGGTTGCATACAGCTCAGGGAAATCAATGCCATACTGAGATGGACGATTCCAGCAAGGTATCGATCCAGCTTTGCTTCACCTCCCTTCCCTCTCCATTTCTCTCTATCTCCATCTCTCTCCATCCCTCTGTATCTCCATCCTTCCCTCTGTCTCTCTCACAAATGCTTACACATAAACAGATGCAAGCGAATGCACATCCTGCACAGAAATTCAGACAAACCACAAGTTCTGTTATTTGAACCCAAAACGACATTAGGCTATAAGATTTAAATCACACACTGATGTTGCTTTGTGGATGAAATGTTATATATTTTGGCAGAAGTCCTTTATAAAAGTATTCTTAGACATTTCACAGGTTTGCTAAATATGACATTGATTTTTGGATAAAATTTCACAAATAATCATTATTTGTTTCTTAATTTACCAACAAGTTTCTTTCTTTTACAGCCCCATTACAGCTGAAAGTGCTTCTGCCAGAATCGCTTTGCCTTCTGGGATTATTCCTGCATGTCCCATTTCGCAGTGTTACTAAATTTCAGCGAACGAAAGAGGACAAAAACAATCGCTCAGCAACCTGGCCAGCATGTCCTCACACACACACACACACACACACACACACACACCCGCTCACACTTGTAGGGTAAACATATCCTTATGGGGACCGCTCATTCATTTCAATGGGAAAAATGCTAACGCTAACTATGACAACCTTAACCCCTACCCTGCCCTAACCATAACCATAAGTAACCTAACAAAATACAAGACTTTTTGCATTTTTAGTTTTTTCATAGCAGTCACCGATTTTTATAAAATAGAGTTTTCCCTTATGGGGACCAGAAAATCGGTCCCCATAAGGGAAAAAAAACAGATATTTATCACGTTATGGGGACATTGTGTCCCCATAAGGATAGGTAAACCCGCTCGCGCGCACACACACAGGTTTGTAATTATATCTTTGTGGGGACTCTCCATTCATTTCTATGGGGATAACTTTAATCCCAACATGACAACCCTAACCCCCACCTAGCCCTAACCTTAACCACAAGTAAGCAAACAGAATACGAGACTTTTGGCATTTTCAGTTTTTTGATTGCATTCACAGATCTTTTTGGGGACCTGAAAAATGGTCCCCACAATGTTAAAAAACACAGGTTTTTATCACATTGCGGGGGCCAATTGATCACGTAATATAAATGTTATCCACACACACACACACACACACACACACACACACTACATGCAGCTATAGACTCACAGCTGCAGACCGCATGCACTCTGGTATTCAAAGGAATACCACAGGCACTCAGTGCAGAACAGCTGGGGCACTGACCATGTGCACGTCTTGGGGCGATGGGCAGTGAAGCCACAGAGCTGCCGCCCCCACTGTGACCCCCCCGCCCACACACACACACACACACACACACACACATACGCGCGCGTGTATGCAGACCACCGGCACGTACCTCTGGTGCTCCCGCAGCTCTGGCTGCTGGTCCTGTCTTCTCTCGGACAGTCTTCCCCATGCCAGGCTGCACCACCTCCATGGGGGGCTGGGAGCCAGGCTGCAGCCCCCCTGACCAGCGACACGGGGGCAACCTGTCTGTGCGCTGATTCCTCTGCCGTCCCCTCTCCCCCCACACACGTGCCGGCTGCCTTTCTCCCTCTACCTTCCTCTCTCTCTGTCTCTCACTCTCTGTCACTCTCTTTCTCCCTCTGTCTGTTTCTTTATCATCTTCACCTCTCGATCACTCACTCCTCTCTTCTCCTCCCTCACTTAGTGTCCCTCCTGTTTCTCTCGCTCCCTCCTTTTTTGTCCTCACTTTCACCGCTCTCTCTCCTGCCCTCCTTCTCTCGCTCTCTCCCCCCTGCTCTTGCTCTCCCACTCTCCCTTTTCTTTCTTCCACTCTCTCTCTTTCACTCACTCCCACTCTTATCTGCAGCTGCTCTCCCTTCTCTGATTTCCCTCCTGACCAGCCCAGGATGGGGGGGGGGGCATACAATTTCACTGTACCACACAGCTTCACCGCCTTTCTGGTCCTCCTGCCTCCTCTCCCAGCTTGGAGAGGAATGTAGATGCCGCCTCAGGGGCATCATTGCCAGGTTGTCTCAGCGCTGAGCCTGCGGTAGTACCAGCCCCACCGTGCTGATGTTCAGCGCTGAGCCTGAGGCAGTACCCGCCCCACCAAGCCGATACTCAACGCTGAGCCCGCAGTAGTAGCAGCCCCATCGAGCTGATGTTCAGCGCTGAGTCTGAGGCAGTACCTGCCCCACCAAGTTGATACTTAGCACTGATCCCGAAACAGTACCTGCCCCACCCAGCCGATACTCAGTGCTGAGCCTAAGGTAGTACCCACCTCACAGAGTTGAGGCTCAGTGCTGAGCCTAAGGTAGTACCCACCTCACAGAGTTGATGTTCAGTGCTGAGCCCGAGGCAGTACCTGCCTCACCGAGCTGATACTGAGCCAGTGCACCGCAGAAGGTGATGCTGTGAAACAATGAATAAAGATCTATGCTATTACAGGCAGCACAGTGACTCAGAGGGCACCACTATGGCCTCACACCTCCAGTGCTGAGGCTCTGAATTTGTTAGCATGCTCTCCCCATATGAAGGGGCTTCCTCCAGGGGCACCAGTTTACTCTTGCAGCCTAAATACATGCAGCTAGTAATTGAATAGGGGACTGAATATCACCAATAGTGTGTGTGTGTGTGTTTGTGTGTGTGTCTCATCCAGGATGCCCCCCACTGCTGTGCCTCTCTAAGTGCATGGTTGGATGATACAATTTCATATTTATGTTCTCCTTGGAAACATAAACCTTTTAAATACTAAATAACAAAGGACAAATAAACACTATCATATTTAAAAAGTCACAGCTGGGGAGATGACAGCTCCAGCATGTATCCAACTAAGAAGATGAACAAAGGTATAAACATGCTTTTATGTTTGTGGTTGTTTAAAACTGCAGGTTGTTTAAAGCGGCGTGGCGATATGGACTCCGTACATTAACCTTCACACAGCGGCGGGTTTAACGATGCCCCCGTGCGGGTTTACTGCCGGGGGGTGATTTACACGCCCGCCGACATCGATGGGTTGCGGAGCGCTGTCGGCGCGGTTCGTACGCTTTTCGGGCAGGTTCTAACAAAGAAGTACTGAGGCAATTTCCAGAGACACAGAGGCATCCTTCATTTGGGGAAGTTGGTTTGATTTCCGCTGGATAGAGCCGTTAATGGCTCTCTATCTGCGCCTCTCTTCTTCGCTATGAATGGAGCTCTTTGAAAGCGAGCGGCTGCCCCGCCATTGCGTAACCGGGGAAACGTCGCTACGGGCTGTCTGATGGCGGGAACGGGAGCACAGCACTGATGGTTAAAAACAAATAATAAAAAATGAAAGTGCGAAAGCATAGAGAAAGGAGACAGAGCGAGAAAGAGACAGAGTGTTGGAAAGCTGCCAAATTTAAACAACTCATGGCAAGGAATGACAAGGAAAACTTTCTTCACTTATAGGTAGGGGTTTATTGAAAATCCCCAAGAGGAATGTCCCAGTCAAGAATATGATCTCACAGTGAACTCGTACTTATCTCACAGGCTTTCTCATACTATGAAACTTCTACCATGCCACTGCGAGATCAATCTGAAATTACACATCGACCACGTGTCAAACTCATTTTATCTCCTACTGTAAGATCATCATGATACCCATGTGATATCATGTTTCTTAGCTATAGATGAAAGAAATCCACAAAATATGTTGACCAAATGTATAGGTACATATATCATTAATTAAACATTCCACAAGTATAATTCAACTTTAAACAATAATGCTTCATCTGCCATTTGCACTGGAATTCATCTCTTTGCCAACCCCATCATGCTCGCCATAGCGTGGGGGTCACAGCACACGGTCAGCTAACATGCAGTGCCACCCGGATCTAGGGGCTAAGGGACCTGCTCAAGAACCCATGGACATGTGACTGTCCTGCCAAGGCTCAATGATCTTTTGATCACGGGCATGGAGACTTAGCCCAATGAGCCACTGACCACCCAAGCATATTAAACACGCAAATGTTAAAAGTTGAAACAGACAATTATCCACAGCCATATGATCTACATCATCTAAAGCTGTATTTATCCTGCAACCTTAATTCTAAATGCCAGATCCCAATCTTTACTATACTTTACATATGTGCAATTTACGTTTTTTTTTGTATTGTCCCAGTCCTTTTATGTAGCACCATGGTCCCGGGGAACGTTATTTCATTTCACTTTGTACTGTACCACGTATATTGTTGAAATGACAATAAAAGCAACCTTGAACCTTGAACATTGAATTGTATCTGTATGAATACAATACACAAACAGTTTTTTTTTGTTTGGTCCCATGAGTTAACCTCTTTTTATTATTATGGGTCAAAATGCAAGAGGATATGGAGTAAGGGGGGGGGGGGGGGGGGGGGCAAACCTATCTTTGTCACAGTGATGTCAGACAGGTGATATCTAATAATTGTCTTGTCCAGCCCGGAGTCTTACTGCTTAACAATTTAATTACATGTAGTCTAATTAGCAGTGAACCTTTTGTTCTGTTTTACAGAATACTATAACCTTTGTAGCTGCTTTTCAACTTCATGAAGGAATTTGTATTAATATATGAAACCAGATGCACTATATTGCCAAAAGTATTGGGACACCCCTCCAAATCATTGAATTCAGGTGTTCCAATCACTTCCATAGCCGCAGGTGTATAAAAAAAGCACCTAGGCATGCAGACTGCTTCTACAAACATTTGTGAGAGAATGGGTCGCTCTCAGGAGCTCAGTGAATTCAATCTTGGTACCGTGAAAGGATGCCACCTGAGCAATAAGGCCATTCATGAAATTTCCTCGCTACTACATTTTCCATGGGCAATTGTTAGTGGTATTATAGCAAAGTGGAAGCAATTAGGAACAACAGCAACTCAGCCACAAAGTGGTAGGCCACGTAAAATCACAGAGTGGGGACAATGCATGCTGAGGCACAAAGCGTGCAGCAGTCGCCAACTGTCTGCAAGGTCAACAGCTACAGACTTTCAAACTTCGTGTGGCCTACAGTACATATTAACTTCATGGAATGGGTTTCCATGGCCAAGCAGCTGCATCCATGCCTTACATCACCAAGTGCAATGCAAAGCGTCAGATGCAGTGATGTAAAGCATGCTGCCACTGGACTCTGGAGCAGTGGAGATGTGTTCTCTGGGGTGACAAATCATGCTTGTATGTCTGGCAATCCAGTGGACGAGTCTGGGTTTGGCGGTACTTGCCTGACTGTATTGTGCCATGTGTAAAGTTTGGTGGAGGGGAGATTATGGTGTGGGGTTGTTTTTCAGGGGTTGGGCTTGGACCCGTAGTTCCAGTGAAAGGAACTCTTAATGCTGCAGCCATTTTGGATAATTTCATGCTCCCAACTTTGTGGGAACAGTTTGGGGATGGCCCCTTCCTGCGCACCAGTGCACAAAGCAAGGTCCATAAAGACATGGATTAGCGAGTCTGGTGTGGAGGAACTTGACTGGCCTACACAGAGCCCTGACCTCAACCTGATAGAAAACCTTTGGGATGAATTGGAGTAGAGACTGTGAGCCAAGCCTTTTCGTCCAAAATCAGTGCCTGACCTCACAATTATCAAAAATTCCCATAAACACACTCCTAAACCTTGTGCACAGCCTTCCCAGAAGAGCTGAAGGTGTTAAAGCAGCAAAAGGAGGGCCAACTCCATATTAAAGCCTATTTATTAAGAATGGGATGTCATTAAAGTTCATGTGTGTATAAAAGCAGATGTCCTAATGCTTTTGGCAATATAGTATATTTACTTTAGAGTATGATTATCCTTCTTAACACTGCATGTTTCTAATCATTTGGCTTTGCCCATGCTGAGCTCAGGTGAGGGTGTTTGTACACAATCAGATTTCAAGAAAATTTACCAGTATGTACACATGAAATTTTAACAGTTGACTATTTACAGTCAGTGCTTTATGTGGGGAAAAACAGGTGCTGGTACTCCCTTGTTATCCAGTACCAGGTGCCATTACTCCCCATGTTATTCAGTTCCAGGTGCTGGTACTCCCTTGTTATCCAGTACCAGGTGCCATTACTACCCATTGTTATTTAGTACCAGGTGCTGGTACTCCCCTTGTTATTTAGTATAAGGTGTCAATACTCCTCTTGTTATTCAGTACCCGGTGCCATTACTCCCATTGTTATTTAGTACCAGGTGCTGGTACTCCCCTTGTTATTTAGTATAAGGTGTCGATACTCCTCTTGTTGATCAGTACTAGGTGCCAGTACTCCCCTTGTTATTTAGAACCAGGTGCAGATACTCCCCTTGTTATCCAGTACCAGGTGCCATTACTCCCCTTGTTATTCAGTACCAGGTGCAGGTACTCCCCTTGTTATTTAGAACCAGGTGCAGATACTACCCTAGTTATCCAGTACCAGGTGCCATTACTCCCCTTGTTATTCAGTACCAGGTGCAGGTACTCCTCTTGTTATTCAGTACCAGGTGCAGGTACTCCCTTGTTATTCAGTACCAGGTGCAGGTACTCCCTTGTTATTCAGTACCAGGTGCAGGTACTCCCCTTGTTATTCAGTACCAGCAGCCAATTCTCCCCTTGTTATTCAGTATCAGGTGCCGGCACTCCCTTTGTTATTCAGTACCATGTGTCAGTACTCCGCTTGTTATTCAGTACCGTGTATCTGTATTGTGTACCGGTGAGTACTGGCTCACTTTGTGCACTG